GATGAGAGAGAGGGAGAGAGAGAGAGAGAGAGAGAGAGATAATAGAGAGAGAGAGAGAGATAGGGAGGAGAGAGATGAGAAGAGAGGGAGAGAGAGAGAGAGAGAGGGAGAGCAGCGAGAGAGAGAGAGAGGGAGAGAGAGAGAGAGAGAGGAGAGAGAGAGTAGAGAGAGAGGGAGGAGAGAGAGCGAGAGAGAGAAGGGAGAGAGAGTAGGGAGAGAGAAGGAGAGAGAGAGGGAGAGAGGTAGAGAGAGGATAGGGAGAGACAGAGGGAGAAGAGAGAGAGAGGGAAAGAGGAGAGGAGAAGAAGAGCGAGAGACAGAGAGAGGAGAGAAGGACAAGAGAGAGAGAGAGAGAAAGAGAAGAGGATGAAGAGACGAGGAGAGAGAGAAAGAGAGAGAGGCGAGAGAGAGAGAGAGGGAAAGAGAGAGAGAGAGAAGAGAGAGAGAGAGAGAGAGAGAAGAGAGATAGAGAAGGAGAGAGAGAGAGAGAGAGAGAGAGAGAAGAGAGGAGAGAGCGAGAGAGAGGACTGAGAGAAGGAGAGAGAGCGAGAGATGAAGAGAGGGAAAGAGATAGAGAGAGATGGAAGAAGAGAGAGAGAATAGAGAGAGAGAGAGAGAGAGAGAAGATAGAGATAGAGAGAGAGAGAGAGGATATAGCGAGAGAGAGAGAGAGTAGAGAGAGAGAGAAGAGAGAGAGAGCGAGAGAGATATAGAGGGAGAGAGAGACGAGAGAGAGAAGGAGATAGAGAGAGAGAGATATAGGTAGAGAGAGAGGGAGTAGATAGAGCGATAGTAGAGAGAGCGAGAGAGAGAGCGGGCGAGAGAGAGAGAGGGGAGGAGAAGAAGAAAGGAGAGAGCGAGAGATATAGAGGGAGAGAGAGAGAGGAGAGAGAGAGAGAGAGATGGAGATAGGAGAGCGCGATAGAGAGAGTAGGAGGCGAGTATGAGAGAGAGGGATAGGAAGTAGAAGGGAGAGATAGAGAGTAGAGAGGGCAGAGAGAGAGCGATAGATGATAGAGAGATAGAGCGATGAGAGAGGAGAGAGGAGAGAGAGAGAGTAGAGAGAGGAGGGAGACATGAGAGAGAGAGAAAGAGAAAGAAGAGAAAAGAGAGAGAGAGAGAGAGAAAGAGAGAGTAGAGAGATAGAGAGAGAGAGAGAGAGAGATAGAGAGAGGAGAGAGAGTATATAGAGAGAGTAGAGAGAGAGAGAGGGAGAGCGAGATAGAGAAAATGGAGTAGAGAGAGTAGAGATAGAGAGAAAGGGAGAGTAGAGAGAGAGAGAGAGAATAGTAGTAGAGAGAGATAGAGAGAGATATATAGGGAGATAGAGTAGAGAGATAGGACGAGAGATATATTATGAGAGATATAGAATAGTGAGAGAGATGATAGGGATATGTAGAGAGTTGGGTAGATTGGAGTATGAGAGAGAGAAGGAGACAGAGCATGATAGATGTATACATATATATATATATCTATACATGTATAGAGAGATGTAACATAGATATATATGGAACATATATATATATGTATACATAGATAGAAAAGGATAGATGATAATAGAATATATATATAATAAATGGATAGATAGATAATATAGAGAAGTATGATATATATATATATATATGTATATATATATATATATATATATATATATATTATATAATATTTATATATATATATTTATTTATATATTTATATTATATATATATATTTATATATAATATGTATACATATATATATATATATATTATATTATATAGATTTAATAGATATATTTATATTTATATATTATTTATTTATATATATATATTTTAAATATCTATATATATATATTTATATATATCTATGTATACATTATATATATGTCTACATATATATATATGTATACATATATATAAACGTATTATATATATGATATGTATATATATATATATATTTATATATATATATTTATCGCTGTATATGTAAATATATATATATGTAAATATTATAGGTAATATATAGTATATAGTAAATATATATAATGTAAATATATATATATGTAAAATATATATATATGTAAATTATATATAATATATAGATATATATATATATATATAGATTATATATATATAATAGATTAATGTTTATATATATGTAAAATATATATAGTATGTAAATATATATATATGAAATATATAGATAGGTAAAGAAGAGATATGTTATATATATATAGGTAAATATAGGTATATATATATATAATTTTAAGTATAGATATATATATATATATAGTATATATAGAGATATATATATAGATATAGATTATATATGGAAAATATAGGTATATATAGAGATATAGATATATATTTATATATACATAGAGATATATATAGATATATATAGATATAGATATATATATATGATATAGAGTATGCATATGATTAGATAGAGATCTATATATGTATATATAAATATTATATATATTATATATATAAAAATTAATATATATATATTAGATATT